ACATAGCTCTGTTTGTGCCGGGCACCGGCTATTGCCAGTATAACTCCACCCCCTGTTAACAATAGGTGTTAATTAAGTGTCAACGATAGCCATGTGATGTGAGTATCAGTCACATGGAAGCAGTGCTTAAAAGCCTGAATTTTGCCTGAAACTCTCAGACTGAAGAAGTCTCTTGGAGGAGAGACAAAACGTTTCTTTAGAGAAGAACCCGTCCAGAAGACCTATACAATTTTTTTCTTTTTGATTTTTTACCTGGATTACTGGGATGCATCAGGACATTTAGTTGGTTTTGTTGTCTGGGTCTAAATGATTTATCGAGTATCTGTAAAATGAAAGCTTAGGACACATAAAGTGTCAAAGAACTGGATTCAAAAGTGTTTTCAGTTTGAGTGTCCGTCCTTCCGTCCGTTTTCTGCCGCTTATCTGGGGTTGGGTCGTTGGGGCAGCAGCCTAAGCAGAGAGACCCAGACTTCCCTCTCCCCATCCGCTTGGGCCGGCTCATCCGGGGGAATCACAAGGGGTTCCCAGGCCAACCGAGAAACATAGTCCCTCCAACATGTCCTGGGTCTTCCTCGGTGCCTCCTCCCAGTGGGACATGCCTGGAACACCTCACCAGGGAGGCATCCTAACCAAAGTTAGTGACCATCGATGAGGGTAGGAACATAGACCGACAGGTACAGCGCCCACATCACTGCAGACGCAGCACCAATCTGCCTGTCGATCTCCAGCTCCATTTTCCCCTCATTTGTGAACAAGACCCCGAGATACTTAAACTCCTCCACTTGGGGCAGGATCTCCTCCCTGACCCGGAGGCAGCACACTACCGTTTTAGCTGTTTTCAATTGACTGTTCCTGAATCTTGTCATTAGGGTTAAGTTGTTACTCTATGATTCCTTTAGATGACTTCATGAACAATAAATAAATAAATGCATGCCACCAACCACTTTTCAAGCCAGAATTTTAAAACAATTTATCTTTTAATCATCTAATGCTGAGAGATATTGGATTTATAGAATTTTGAGTGTGGCATTTGAAGTTTTACACAATCTCATGTGATGTCCTGAGATGTTGTGTTTAAAGTACTATTTGTTTGTGCATAACTTTATGCTACATCTGCACAAATTTTCAGCTTTGTATCTGAAAAACTAGCTACATCATAGACATTTTGTGTTAGCTAAACTCAGTTAGCTGTAGCAGCCATCTTGAATTCATTAAGTTATTCAGATAAAGATGTTCATCCTATGATTACTTTCTGACAGTTTAATTAAAATTTGTGCGTGTTTGTGTGGGGTGGGGGGATGACAACTGGTATTCCTTATGTCAGGGGTTCTCAAACCTTTTGGGTCTAGGGACCCCTTACAGGGGCGAAAAAAATTCCAGCAACCCCCTCATAAACCCCATGCTGTTTTTAAAAAAGAATTTATTGTCATTTCAACCCCAAAATGCCGTGGGAATATATATATAT